CCGAGTTCACCGACTGCTTCATTTTCCAGGTGAGGGCAGAAAAGTTCACATCTAGAAGTTAGAGACAAAAGAGAAGACAAAAATGATTTCCTTAACTTTTATTTAAAGCTGATATCATTTATGTTTTTATAATGTTTTGACTGGAGATGCGAAAGGGGACAAATACTGCTACCCAGGTCCCGAGTAATACACCCACTGAGAGAGAGGAAGAAGAGATGGAGGGTCAGATGGGCACAGAGATTTTTCTAATTTTTAGTATAATGCTCATAAAATGGCAGCACGGTGGCACGGTGGTTAGCACTGTTGCCGCACAGCAAGAAGGTCCTGAGTTCAATTCCAACATCAGGCTTTCTGTGTGGAGTTTGCATGTTCTCCCCGTGTTTGTGTGGGTTCCCTCCGGGTACTCCGGCTTCCTCCCACCGTCCAAAGACATGCAGCTTGTGGGGATAGGTTAACTGGATAATCCAAATTGTCACTAGGTGTGAATGTGTGAATGAATGTGAGTGCGAATGGTTGTCTGTCCCTGTGTGTTGGCCCTGCGACAGACTGGCAACCTGTCCAGGGTGTACCCCGCCTCTCGCCCTATGACAGCTGGGATAGGCTCCAGCGCCCCCTGCGACCCTGAAAAAGGATAAGCGGAAGTGAATGGATGGATGATCATAAAATGCTTGAAGGATATCATTCTCTGAAAGTTTAAAGGGAGCGTTGGGAGTTAGGAGCAACAAAACTGAATGCAGTCTGTGCAATTTCACACTTGACTTCAGAATCATGGGTGAAGGTCTAATTTCTGTATTGGCAACAGTATTGTTCCCATTCTGCAGTGATTAAATACTAAGAACAACAATTTATCAGAGTTCATTCAGTACACAGAGAAAGACTGACTGAGGTCATAGCTCAGATAAATATTGTGGATATATGAAATCTTTTTGATGTTGAGGAATGAGTACAATGGCTCCACAGGTGTCAGCGTTGCGTGTGCTTCACAGCACCCTGAGTGTGTGTGTGCTGAGTGTGGAGCAGGATGGTAAACGCCATGTGGTGGGTAGGGTGCTGTTTTCTCTGGAGGGGGAGTTCGGTCAGGCTGGCAGGGTGCTCTGGAGAGACCTTGAGACTGAGGAAGACCCACAGGTACACACCAAACAACCACACACACACACACACACCGTACTGCACATGAGTGCAAAGCTAAAAGTTCATGATTGCTGTGCTTGTCAGTGTTCAGAGCTGGGGGATGTGCAGATATCTCTCAGCTACAGTAGGTCCCTGCAGCGCCTTTCAGTGGTGGTTTTGAGGGCTCGAGGCATACAGCTGCTCACAGACGCAGGTACGAGGTGATTTATGGTTGTGGATGGAGCTTGTGTGGAGTACACAAATCCACTGTTTATCTACAAAAGAAAGAAAGTATGAGATAAATCTGGTTATGACCAAAGGAATGTCCGGTAATACAGCACCTGTGTGTGTTTCTAAGGTGTGTGTGTCCAGGTGAGCTTACAAAAGCACACTCAGGTGGTGAAGATGAAGCGCAGCTGTGTGGTGAAAGGTGAAAATTACCCCTACTTCAACTTCAGGTCGACCTTTAAACTGCGACCTCAGCACCTGGACGAGGCCTGCGTGAGGTTTGAGCTGCAGCAGCCGAGCAGCGTCCGCTCAGGTGACTGTTGGACGGGCTGAACTTCAAATCTAAACTTTGTTTGGAGATTAATGGAAATGATCAATGTGTCAGTGTTTCATAAGATAGGCATTAAAAGCTTTTCATCAAACACTCATCTTTGTCATTTTAAAATTTTAATTTCTGACATATAACTTCTGACAATAACAATAAGACCTCACCTACCTGACATTTAAAGAATGTCGAGTGTTTTAGGGCTTCTTTTAAAGAAGTAAAATGTTAGAAAAGCTCCAAGTATACTGAAAAGCATGTTTCTTGTTTATAATTATATTATTTATATTTATTGAGTTTTTCGAGTTGTTTATTAGTAAAGGTATAATCATATTTAATAAAATGTTATCAGTCTGGAGAGTCCAAGGTTAGGCATTACTGTTAATTTGTCTTTAATGCTTTACGGGTTTTTACAAACTGTCCATTGGAAATAAAGGTTCTTATTCAAAGTTTATGTGTAACAGAAAAAAACTAATTTTTTCCCTTTTTAAAAATGTTTCCTCTTAGGAATTTATTATTAAAAAAATAAGTAAAAAACAGCATCTTCAGAAGATAACATTTCTCACTGGTTCTGTTTCTTTTCCTCTCAGAACCTCCGACCCCTCTGGGAGTGGTGGTGTTGGGTCCCTTCATGTACTCCAGGGGTCCTCAGCTGCAGCACTGGATAGACATGGTCAACACGGCACAGGAGCCCGTCACACTGTGGCACGGACTGCGCAGACCCACCTAACACTAAAAGCATCCTCATATGAGTAGATATCAAAAATGAAATAAAATAAGTATGAATCAATCATCTACCATTTGTTAAGAAAAATTTCTACAGGAAACTCTGGAATACATCAAAGGAAAAAAGCTGAGAAAAGCTCATTGTTTAGTTTTTTGACCTGTAGCTTTACTCTCTTCGTTCACTGCTCTCAAAGTGTTGTTTTCAGCTGCTGCTGTGCAACATTTAGCAAATGTATTTTCAGGTGTCATCTTCTGTAGCTGATATTGAACAAATCAGAACTAAAAAAAATGGACTTAAATTCATCAGATCAGCACGAAGTTGAGTTTTTGCTGCCCCCAAATGGTGAAAAATAAATAAATAAATACATAAATAAATATTTGGGCTCCTACAAGTTTCAGTAACATTTTTTGTGCAATTCTCTGAAGATTCATGTATTACTTTAAAACAAAGGAATATGAATTCTAATGTGAGAAACTATGTAACATAACAATTAGATGATAGGGTTTAATAAAAATGCTGTAATAAGACTCAGATTTTAATATAGATCATCTTAAAGCCAGTGTAGGAAAGTCTTATTTGGCTTGTAAGCATTTCAAATGTAGAGATATTTTCAGTCTAAACCACCAACATAAGAGCAGCCAAACACAAAATATAGACTTTGATATAAACATTCTCATGTTCCTGCTTATTATTCGTCTTTCAACCTCTATGATTTATCCTCAGATCTTTCCGAGTGAACTCCAGAGTGCATCGTGTGTGTAGCAACGTTAGAAAGAGGCATGCTTGCCATATCAAGCTGGGATAAATGGTCTTGAGTTTGTTGTTCCGTGATTTTCTTTTGTGTGTTTTTAAAATTACATTATATTATACTATATTATATCTTAAAATGACTAGTTATTACAAATTGTAATTATTATAATTATTATTTTTATTACAAAAAATCTTACAAATAAGTGGATGGGATAGTCACTTTTTCTTTTTTTTCTCTTTTCTTTAGAAAAACAGAAAAAACTTTTATAATCTTTACGGTACTGTGCAAAAGTCTTGAGCCACTCATCCTTTCTTTGTGTTTTACAAAGAAAATGGGAAATAGGTTCAGCAAGTTATTAAAATATGTGCAAACATAGATGAAAATGCTGTAATTTGAAAATTCTAACTAAAGTCAAAATTTGGTATGACTGCCTTTATTCTTCTACACAGCCTGAAATCTCTCAGGTATCTTCCTTGTAATTTATCTCAGTAGTCTTCAGAAATAGATCTTCAGGATTCAGGAGATTCTTACTTGGATGTTGGCTTCCTTTTGTTCTGTTCTATGTCAAGATGATAACAAACTGCTTCAATAATGTTGCAGGAGGCCAATCAATGACTGGTAGCGTTCAGGTGTGTTTTTCACCCTGCTATGCTTTTACTGCATTGGCAATATGTTTGGTATCAATGTCATTGCTCAGAAATAAAGACACAGTCCTTTCCAGATGGTATTACATGTTGGCAAATTAAAATGCTCGACGCCACTGCTTGACATGCAACTCCAAACCGTGATTTAGCCTCAGCTTTGTTCCACAGATGGTTGTAGACACTCACTGTCGTACCGCTCTCCTCTGATAATAATTTAATATACAAAAATGTACATTTGGATTCATCACTTCATCAAACCTGTTGCCACTGATTTTCAGTCCAGTTCTTGTCTAATTTTGGATACCTCAGCCTTTTCTCCCCATCTCCCCTCGCTAGAGATTAGCCTCTTGACAGCCACCTTTCCACTGAGGGTGAACAGACAGATGAACTGAAGGGCCTGATGCATCTCTCAGGTCCTGTTTCAGGTCTTTCATTGATTTGTTTGGGATATTTCTCAAGGATATGACTTTCAGAAGCTGCTGATAGTTGGTTAGACTTGTCACTTCTTTAGTTGTCCACACTGTCCAGCTTCCTCAAACTTAAGGGCACACTGTACATCATGGAGGTTTTATGCTAATATCTTGATACAAAAATGCTACAAAATTTTATACAATTTAAAATCATTTAAAATAGTTTCTTTGCCAAAATGTCTGTTATGTGTAAGCACATGACTGGTTCATCCATGAGTCACAGGTTAGTGTTAGAAGTTTAAACTCCCCGGAAGGACATTATCACTTACTTTGAAACCAAAGAAAATAAATTATGTGCCATTGTCAATCTTAATATCTTACTAGGGAAATTCCACATGCATAAATGTAAATTTCAAAACTCAATCCCAATATTTAGTTTGTTTTTAATTGAAATTGAATATTACTTAAACTCTCTTAAATGGAATTCAAATTAAAAAGGTTTATCATTAATTGAAATTCATCCAGAAATTTTCAACAAATGAGCTGTCACAGATACAATTTTCAAGCACAAAGCTACTATGAAGTCTGTCACATCCCTTTTTTTCTTCTTTATTTATTTATTTACCCCTCTTATTTTCATTTTCATTGTATTGCTTATTGTTACTCTTATTTGCCCTGAATGTCTACTGTACAAACTGAACTGGAATGACTGACTGTTCACTTTACAATTTCAAATAAAGTTCTGCAAAAACAAAACAAAACCTCCCTGCCTTTCGTGCTTCCTAATCCTGTCCGGCAGGTGGCGCCTCCTGTCTGTGTGACTCCTGTGCGCAGCTGCAGGAAGCGTGTATGCGGAAGCGGTGTCTGAGCAGAAACGTGGATCGCTTTTAAAGTTATTACAGCTTCATCAGCGGTTTGATGCCATGAAGATAAACGAGAACACTTTACTGGAGGGACACAGAGTCGTGCTGGTTCCTTACAACGTAAACCACGTGCCCAGGTAACGTGAACAGCTGTTAGTGGAAGCGATCCCCGCATCACAGCTGTTTACTGTCCTCTGCCCCTTTTATTCCTCTTCTTATCACCACATTTTGTTACAATGTGTGTGTCTCTTTATGTGACAGTCTTTTAGTGCTAAGTATAAAACATTTGTTTACAATAGCATTTACAACTGCACAAGGAAAGGCAATACAAAGAATAAAGATTAATCCGTTCAGGTCATATTTACTGCTTAATGACACATTATTTGTCTTTAGTAAAGAGTATGTTTTAAGGCAGAGCTATCAAATACGTGGTCTTTCAAAGGCTTTGCGAAGTGTGAAACCTGGAAAAAGGAGGCATAATCTTAGCCTTTTCTCTGCTTTTGCACTATTAACTATTGTGTTGCAACTCGTTAAGATGTATTGCACTATAAGAGTGTTTCTAAACTGGTCATCCCCCTAAATTAATGTTAGAGATAACCTGTCATATAACACTGAAATAAAATGACTGAGCCACACAGTCATGCAGATGTTTTTCTCTGAGTTCTCATTCAGCTCATCGTTTGTTTTTCCATCGGATGCTTCTTTACATGTGAGTGTGGCTGTAAAAGTTAGTTAAATAGTTTGTCATGCAGCAGTTTTATTGACATAGCCAGCTGGAGAACTCCTGAACAGGTTGAGCCAGAAGCAAGATGCATATCTGCCACAGTTGTCTTCTATTATAGCCTTTTTCACAGCAAAATCACAAGTACCTCCCATATCATATCTGTATTAAAACATATAGTTCATAATTACCGTAATTCTGGCAATAATAGATTTTTCTCAACCCATTATTTATTTATTTTTTATTATTACAGCAAATGTTTCAATTTCTGAGTAATTTAGTTTGATCATAGTAACCAGCTGTCTTTGTTATTTCATATTTCCTGGGCGTCTTTATTAGTGAGTTTAACTTCATCCAGGTATCATGAGTGGATGAAGTCTCCGGAGCTGCAGCAGCTGACCGCTTCAGAGCCGCTGACCCTGGATCAGGAGTACGACATGCAGAAGAGCTGGAGGGAAGATGACGACAGTGAGGAGCCGTCAGTAGACATGATAGGAAAGCAATGCCAAGAAAAGCATTTTCATTGTGTTTGTGTGTTTTTATGTTGCCTTTCCAGAGTGCACGTTCATAATTTTGGACAAGCAGCGGTGGGCTGACCCCAGTGTGGAGGAGGAGCAGTGCATGGTGGGAGATGTCAACATCTTCCTGACTGATCCAACAGACCCTTCGCTGGCTGAGCTGGAGATCATGATAGCAGGTTCTTAAAAACATCTATAAGAGAGCAATCAGTGCATTTTTACATGCTCGGTGCAGACTTTTTGTTCAGTTGTTACATTGTTTTGATTCTGTGATAAAGAAGAAGTGTTTTTATTGTTTGTTTTTTAACAGAGCCCAGTTACAGAGGCAAGGGCATCGGAAAGGAGGTGACACGTATGATGATGTGCTATGGTGAGGCAGCCAGAACAGTCTGTCAGACTTTTAAAGATTTCTGTATGGAAATGAAAGATTTTTTCAGCCTTTTTTTAAGTACTGTAGACAGTATAGTACAGTTTTTACGTTACATTTGTAAAAAACAGTTATTTTATGGTGGTGATTAGCGTGTTTTCCTCCATCAGGAGTCACCAAACTCGGAGTCAGAAAGTTCCAAGCAAAGATCGGGCTGGAGAACCAGGTCAGCATCACCATGTTCAAGAAGCTCCACTTCCAAGAGGTAACCAGATCCCACTGTGTGGAATTGTGGATATGCTCTATAAAATAAACCTTTTCTTTGGGAATTCAATACAAAGTCTTGCTTGCTGCAGGTGTCGCAGTGTGCAGTGTTTAAAGAGGTGACACTCGAGCTGACGGTAGATGAGTCCGTTCGGACGAAGCTGCTGGACGATGCAGCTCACGTGAAGGAACGAGATTACAGACAGACCTGCAGCAGCGGACCTGAACTGCTCTCACAGTGAGGTTCTATACTGAGCTTCTCACTCACCTTCTAAAGACTTCAGCTTGTGAAGCAGGATGATGTGACAGGATGACATGTGAATCTGAAAACTTGCAACAGAATTCTGTATTCGAGTCACAAGAAATGTTATTTTCTGTCACATAGTGGCAAAAAATTCTGATTATAAGACAAACAGAGGCAGACAAGGACAAAGCCATACCTCATTATACAATTTTAAATAAGGAAATCCAGATTCACAATAGAGTTGAATGGGTTCTTCCTTTTTGGATACGCTTCACCAGGTTTGTGCAATTCGTCTTGGTGGTTTTGGTGTGATCTTGCTGGATGTTGGACTTTGCGGAGGAAAAAACCTGCAAATTGTAACCTGAACACTGTTGAAAAACAAATGCATAGGTGTGAATATGACATCAAACTTTCATCCTCACGTATCAAATCGTGTACTGTAGTCGAGACATTGATTTAACCGTTGTCATCTCCGACCCGAGGAGTAAAATGAAATGAAAGATGCTGTGGCTGATGTTTTTAGTGGAGCTGGTTCACTTTATATTGATTGCGTACCACCTTAGCAAACTAGAAATCACTTGCCAATGCAAAGATTTGTGCTTCTCTATCTATAAACCAAGTTAATATCTTTGGTGTCCTTTGTTTGGAGAAGCTTTACACTTAAAATTGAAAGGTGATGTTTTTATGTTTGGTTCAGTATTTCTATTGACCAGTTCTGACTTTTTGAAACTAAACTTCAAATTGGACCAAACTGATGGTTTTAGTCACCAGCTTTCAGCAGCATTAGGCGCTACTTCTTTTTAATTATTCACTCTGTCCCCAGAATGAAATTAAGAGCTTTTTTCCACTTACTGATGCACAGCCATTAAAAACCACAGCCTAATGTGTTATTTACACATCTCTTATACATTAAAGTCTCATATTCCTCTTAATGTCACATATTTTTCTCAATTTTGTTGCTGAAAACTGGTTGGTGTCAAACATTAAATGCCAGCTGCGGGAGCTTTATTGCCATGTTTATTTTCATACTTCATACTCCTAAATCTCACTGTCCTCCTATTCAGTCAACAATGGACATTCATGAGGTCTTGAGATTCAGGAAAAAGGACTAGATGTTACAGTCCCTGATGCATTGCTTTAGATGGAGAGACTCTTGAGGGATGGCTGTCATGAGGAAAGGCAGCCCAGAAACTTTACCAGCAGTACACATCGTTCTGTGCCTCAACTTTCGGTCTTACCCAGGCTAATCTGCCATTTTCCTTCCTTGGTTAGGTTTAGGGATTAAAGATCTGATCTAGATTATCATTTTAAAGTTTAGGACACATCGTCAGTAGTGGACCTTGGATTCATCGGGTGTTTCGGCCATTATCACTAGACCCCCTCATATAAGGAGGCCCTGCCAGGGTTGATCAGGCCCTAGAGCGTGTCACTGGTTTATGTTAAACTGTTATTTTTCTTCTCCTTTCTTCTGTTTAGTTTCCTACAGTTTATTTTCTATCTATTCACTGCAACTGAGAAATAATACTTACCTCTTTAGCATTTATGGAGCCTAAATTCTTCAAAGGGGTAGAAATGATGATAGAGAGAAGTAACACAAAAGGGACAAGATAGGAGAGAGCAGAGAGGAGAGCCGGAAGGGGGGCGCCCAATCTGGCTTCCCAGACCTCCCCGCCGGATCGGGCTGTACGCTCCACCTCCCCACTGCCTCCCAGAAAAGGGGAGAAGGGCAGAATATAAGATCGTAACTAACAAACTAATTAAAATTTTCCTCTTCTCCTCATCAACTTCAGTTAAGTCGTATCATTACTGTGTGATATTAGCACAAGTGTGATACAAGCTAATGCTAGTCTACACCTTAAGGGAGTTCTGCAGTTAGGTCCATAAGTTTTTGGACATGTCATATTTGTGATTTTTGTCCCTGTACACAACCACAGTGGATTTCATATCAAAGAGCAGAGATGTGATTGAAATGCACGCTTTCATCTGCATCCACCTTCAGTTTCTGCTTCTTTGTGGGTCTTTCGGCCTTCAGTAACTGAAAACCATGCTACACTGGGTTCAGATCATGTGACTGACTGGGCTATTGAAGAATACAATCCAGATGATTCTTAAACTGTCAGGATTTCCTTTTTTATAAAGACATCTGTTGATTGCTGACCTGTGAAAGGTTTTTTCCCCATCAAGTTTAAGACTTGAAATCAACTCCAGATGAACTCCAGATTTATCTGCCTAATTTGTCATTAAATAATGATGGAACAGGCCTCATGGAGCTGTAAAATGGATTACTTCTGAGCCCTTAAAATAGGGAAAAGATATATAGAAATTCCAAAACAGGTGATATAATGTACTTTTTTTTCTCAAAATTACCCTCAAAAAAAGTAATTCTCCCAAAAACATGGACCTAACGAAAAGCAGATTGCAGTGTGGCTGCTTGAATGATTGTTCAAGACTGAAATGATTTCTTTCAGTCTTGTTTTGTTAGACTTGAACTGAGAGGTACTTTTTTTTTTTGAAGAATTGCTACATTAACTTCAGTTGTGACACCAAACCTTTAATTGAATTTCCTTCCAACCCTATTTTGGAAAATCAGATTTAGGAAACACGAACCGCCACTAAAGGCACTTTCCACCCATTTTCTTTCTTTTTTTAAAAAACTTATTTGTTGTGGTTTCCCAGACTTCATTCACACAAAATGGTCGTATTAGACAAAAAGCTAATGGATGGCAGCGGCAGCTAAAACGGAACGCTTTGTTGGTCATATTAGGTGGTTTATAGTCTCAGGTTTCAATTGTCCAAGGAGTGCATTCTGAGTAATGTTTGTGGTATTGTTTGCAATTTCTAGCTCGTTTAGTTTAGTTTTAGTCTAGTTTTGGAGAATGGCTCTAACAGCACAGAGTCCTCTGAGGTGTCTTAGTGCAGCTGTAAAAGTGGATCAAGATGTTTTCTTAAACACTAACAATGATCATCAATGGTAACTTGAATATGAGCATTATAGTTCTTTTTTGACCTTCTAAGCTGCATTTCACCACCAAGCCCATCCTGGTGCTTTAACATATAACATACCAAATAATCACATGAGCTCCACCTGTTTGTCACATTGATGTAATAAAGTCAGAAGCTCCAGAGAAGCTACATTCAGGCTCATTACACACTGATTCTCTATTACTTTCTCCATCACCTGAGTACTTTATGTTTCACAACATTTTACAACAACGTTAAACATTTCACCAAACTGCAAAACCCAGGAAGCCAACTATCCAACTTGTTGGGGTTATAACTAAAGAAACGTGTCAGCGTTTACATAAATGACCAGGATGTTGACCATTTCTTCTATTCCATATTGCACCAGCTCAACACTATTTTGAATGCTATGCTAAAGCTGAAATACGTCGAATTAGCAGAGGAGAGATGGAACTTAAAAAAAAATGAATAGTACAAGTCCTGCCTTTATTTATTGTCTGCAGCTAATGTCATGAAATGGCAGTGCAGAGACTGAACACTATATTTTACATTAACAAAGACAAAACTAGACCTGAACCTATTGACGGCATTTTCTTGTCACCAAGGTGTTATTCTGTCACAAACAATATATGAGCCAAATATGTTTTGCAGCACATTTAATTATGCCGACAGGAAAATTACACAAAAAAACAGATTTTTTTTTTTAAAAGGCTTTTTATTTACACTGCTAATTCAATATGCACATTGAACTAGCAGTCTTGGGGGTTAGAAAGACATAGATAGACATGCCACGCTTTTAAAAACAGCACACCACTCTTTCAATAAAGTGAAAATGAATGAAATTCACAACTAAAGATGTTTGAAACAGAATATCTGAATGAGTTTTATTTGTCCTTCACCGCTGCATCTGAATTAAACATTCATTTATTGCGACAGTAGCAAAGCTTGTTTATTGGTAGTCCAGTTTAAAGACAAATTTACAGTTTGTACATTGTTACTGAAAAATTAGGTCTGCGATAAATACTCACAGTTGGGAAGCAGGAAAAATCTATGAAATGATACAATCTGTGCAGGATTTATGAAAAAAAAGAGTTATCAAGTTTAAAATGACCTGTTGTATTAGAATCATCAGCATTGGCTGAGCTTTAATTTATATCAGAACTGAAATTATTTAGTATTTCTAAATTTGCACATTGAGCTTTCAAGGTAAACGTTTGTTTTCTGATTTGCTGTTTTTTTTTTTATTATAAACGCACATAAAGGAAACAGAGCTTTATAGTGAAATGGAAGACATCGAATTCAATCTTGGAAGATGGTTGTTGGGCCACTGGATGGAGGCCATCCTTTCCTATTGATAAAGATCTCTTCCTATGACATTCATACACCATCAAAGTAATGAATTACACTTTATTTATTTGTGCAGACAGATTTCTTGCACGTACTACAGCAGCATTTATTTATTATGCAGAAAAACCGAGATGTGCTGTTGAAATTGCCCTTTTCTTTTATTAAACGGGATTCGATTTGTGGTTAAGCAACTTTACACCGTCAGAAAGGGGATTTTTGCTCTTGTTAAAGATCTGGAAGCAGGAAACAGGATGTACTAAACAAGAGATTTTGCTCTCTGCTGGATAATACCGACACTTTTTCTTAATTACCTCTGATATCTTTGGTATTCGTGTGACTGAAAATGTTTTGCCGGCTGAGGATATAAGCTGTGACAACATAAAATCCACTTCTATCATTTGGACTCCAAAGTGCAAAATTAAGGAGGGTTGACTATATGGCTGGAAAGGCTTTGTATTGACACAGCTTTTACTGCACATGCTCAGACTGCCTAATCTAACACTGGCAAATGGACAACTGTGACTGGCAGCTAACATGTGACTGGTGCAGCACAGACAGGGCCCCCTGACACTTCACTGAACGTCTCTCAAATACAGCCTGTGCTCCGTGTAATGCACAGAAAACAAACCAGCTGGCTGCTGGTCAAAGTGCAAAACATGGTTGACAGGGAGACATTTAAGATGATTACTTCTTCTTCTTTTTTAAAAAACACACTGTAGTACAAAGAGGGTACAAGAGAGACAATTCCATAGGAATTTAAGATGGTTTTCACACCTGTTCCATTGTCATTTATCTGTACAGACCTTTCACCTCCCCAGCATCACAAACATGGTAAGGAGATGCAGGGTTACCCATTTTAATGAGACTCATGATTTCTCATATTTAAAAAACAAACACACAAAATCCCTTGGTTCACAGGTGATAGTGGAAAACCTGGAGCTCTGAGCTTTGATGGAGGCTTGAGTATTTAGTTCTTAGATGTTTGTGTGGATTCGAGAAACTCTTTCGCTGCAGTCGACAGATTCTGCACCAGCTGTCTGAGCACAATCTGCTGCTCTTTGGCCCAGGATAGGCCGTCGTCCACTGCGGCGTTTATCGGCAGACAGAAAGCTTCCTTTTGCAGGTCAGTCAGGTGACAGACAGCGGCGACTCCAGCCAATCCCACAAGCAGCAGGAGGAGGAGCTTGAAGATCAGACCAATGACAGAACGGCGAGGTTTAGGCTTAGACTCCACAGCGACCTTTTTATCTGCTGTAACGAAACACATGCTTGATATCAGAGTGACTCGTCAAACCAGAAATAAAAGATTTTCTGACCACTTTGAGTGATTTGTGCATTTCAAAGAAAAAGGAAAAAAGAAAAGGCCTGTTACAAGCTGAATAAAGTCTTCAAACATAGATACGAATACTTTCTATTTCAATAGATTTACCACCTGCTGCCTGTCCGTTCTTCTTCTTCTTCTCCTCACTTTTCTTCTTCTGTTGCTCTTGTGCAGCCAGTGCTGCCTTCTGAGCATTGTACTCTTTCCTCCTCTTCTCCTTCTCCTCTGCCTTTTCCCGTTTGCGAGCCTCCCTCTCTCTGGCCTCCCTCTCCCTCTGCTTCGCCTCCCTCTTCCTCTCCAGCTCTGATTAAAGGATGAAGGAAATGTGGCCAGAAGAGATGCAATTACACAGATTTATTCTTGCTGGGACATTATAAGCTTGTATTTCAGGGAGCTTTTTCCTGCTGTCCATAAATGAGATGAAGTGCATTTACTTCTTTTCACAGCGGCAACAAGACTCCCATTAACAACGATCCTCTCAGTCTGTTGTTTGCGATACTTTTTCAAATAATCCAGAACAAAAACAACCCACAAAATTATTGTGCGAGTCTGCACTAACCTTTAAATACATTTATCTAACTGAAAACTCAGATTTTTAACAATGATAGATTTGAGTGGTGGAGCAATGCATGACTGAATGAAAGAATTCATGAACACACTTTACAGTAAAGTCGTAAGTATAGTTTTCCTTGTTTCATTTGTCTTGATGTCTGCTTTTTAGATTCATACTATTTAGACTTTTTGTGTTTTAAACCCCCAACTAGGAACATAACATACTTGTGCCTGTGTAAAAATAAACTAGCGTAATAGCAGTCTTATTTTACACATGTAATCATTCTGTGTCACTGCAACTTTTAACCACAATGTTTTAATAGTAAGAACAATATTAATTGTGATAGAATTCACCCTCAAAGTCCCACATTTTCATCAGAATTATTTTTTATTATTCATTCATTTATTATTTATTTTTATTATTATTATTTTTCCTGTTTTATGGGGTTTTTTGTTTTAATAGCACTTCTGTAGTATTAATTCTATAATCCTCCATTTTTATTCAGTCAACATTTTCAAATCCTTTTATAGTCTGTTCCAAGGGCACAATGAGACTCGTGCTTCATTAATGTACATCAATCGGTGTGAATACTAATGGTTGATAACATCTAAGCTTCCTTACTATACGCAGAGCATTTTAAATGTGCGTTTTCATAATTTCTACAACCCTGGATCTCAGTAAGAAATACTTAACTTCACTGTATTCCACTGCATTTGTTTTTTTAAAGCTACAGATGAAGTTTCCGCTACATTTCACACAACTTCAAAAATGTGTTGTTTGTGTGGACGATACACAGGATAAATATGTTCCTGTAACACTTGGGGAGGATATGACCCCACTTTGCAAATCAGTTTCTTTTAATGTATCAAACAGTTTTCTCAACCAAATGCAACAGTATACTTGTTAGTTTAAAATAGCTTTTTTTCTCCTAGTTATTACTTTTTTGAAGTTCTCGAATGATTATGTTGCCTACCTTTTTCTCTTAAAAGTCGTTTCTCTCGAGCATGATCGACCTCCTCCTGAATGGCTCTCATGTGCTGCAGAACCTAAAAAACCCCCACGATCTTTAGTATTGGACGCATTTATGGTAATATCATCAATTTGCTGACTCGTCATTCTCTCTGTCACCTTAGTGGCGCACTGTTTGCACTGTTTCTCATCCAGACAGTCTCCTGCTGCCTTGGCCAGGCCAAGCTCCAGTGGGTTATCCTTTAGGTCCAACCATTTGAGACTCTGAACACAAAGACACACACAGAAAGAGCCAAAACTGAGCTTGGGAACCTCAACAACCACACGCTTCACACCTTGTAATTACAAAGTAAGAAAACAGCAAGTTATCAGCAGCAAAGGTTAACAAAAAAGCAAAGGATTTTTGTTTAGAAACATATACTAGCGTCTTCCTGAGATTTAGGAGATTTACATCCAGTAGGTCAAACTCTGGCTATGAATTTAGCTCTTTATGCTAAGCTAAGGCTGCTGGATGAGGCTAACTTAAACAATGGATGCACATCTATCAAAGAACACCCACCCTGAGCTGAGAGAAGCTCACTGGCAGGTTTGTCAGCTTATTGTTGTACAGGTCTAGATGCTGAAGGTTCACCAGGTTCCCCAGGTCATCTGGGAGACCGGTCAGCTGGTTTTTACTCAGATCCACCTTCACTAGGTGGGTCAGGTTGCAGAACTCTGGCTGCAGGAGGATAACCCAGTCAAAGAGACACACAGCAGTTATAAACATCCCAGCTCATTCATTAAGACATTTGAATGCATGCAGGGTAATTCAACTTGTCGCTCCCAGAGTTTCAGAAAATGTAAGTTACTGAAAATACTTCACTAAAGCAAGAGTGATTACTTTTTAAAACAATGAAAAAGTAACTAAGACAAAGAAATACTTAAAACATTTGAAGATGATCAATTACCTAATAAGATAAAATAATTTTGACCTCTAAAACTTCTCAAACAAACAGTCTTTGCAAGAAATTGTATTATTAAGAGCATCAACTTGATCAAAAACAAACAAAATGTTTAATCTGAGTGTTCAATACTCACAGGAAGGGAGGTAATGTTGTTACAAGATAAGTCCACAACTGTTACTTTGGGGAACAAGGCCTATTGGAAAACATCACATTACAAGTCAAGTTTGACATTAGTGGCAGGTAATTATTTAACAGACATTTTAACCAAGAAACAGAAATGGGAACAAACCACAGCAGAGTAACGGTGAGTGTAAAACTACAGTATGCTTTGAAGCAGCTGAGTAACTTACCAGCTCCCTGACTGGCACCTCAGTGAGATTACACAAGCTCAGGTCCACTTCATTCCCACTGATTTTATCCTTCAGGTTCAACACTTTGCTGTTTTTACTCATCCTGGAGTCTGTGGTGAGTAAACACACATCACAAGGACTGTCACAAAGAAATACTGACATGAGTGGCCAGTTTCTGTAGTTTTTTACTGCAGATACTTCTGAACTAGCAACAGGAAAACCCTGCAATGTGAACATTTTACGCGACCTGCTCACCTGTTTCGACAGCTGCGGCACAACTGTGTTAAAAAGTGAAACACGACGAAAGAGAGCGACGGATTCACCTTGTAAATGTGGTTAAAATGCGTTAGAAGGAGAGCTCTATAAGGCTGGAGAAACTGCTTCTGGCAGCACTGACTGCTTCAATGAAAATCCACGTCACTAACTGAGCGACAATACGGAGATACTGAAGCGAACAGCGCCCCCTGTAGCAACGGAGGAAACAGCGCACTGCAACCAGTGCTATCTTTGATCTTATTCTTAAAAGTCATAATATACTAAATTATAAATGATGAATATGATAATATGAAATTATTAAATAAAATATAAATTGTGAGTAATAATTATAAACAAATTAAAATAGTTAGTGTGTGGGGGCAATAGAAATGGCAGTTATATTTGATGTGTCAATCCATGCTTCTCTTCTTGACATCCCTCAAGTGCAAAAGAACCCAAACTTCAGCATCTTCTCTTAAATTTACATAGATGTGAAATTAAGAGGCTTAAACTGATTGTACAAGAGGGAGCTTTAATGAAAAGTTTTGCAATTGTGCAGCGTTTCTAATGGAAGAATTAATGAAAGAGTTCCTTTAGCGCTGAGCCCAAAGACAAATTATCTACTATATCTTTCACCAGGCATTGCTATTAAATTGAATGTTGAGAAATTCTGTAATTCAGAATTTGTGAAAATTTACATTGTGATTTGTAAATGTAAATTTACAAATAATAAAATTCTACCACCTGCAACTTTTAAAATACAACATCAAGAAATAGCCAGAACCAATGTTTTATCAATGCCAACTTTCTAGAAATTGGCAATAGTCTAACACTGCACCAAATTTAAAATATATTATATAATAAGAAGAAGAAGAAGAAGAAAGAAGAAAAAGTATTTACCATTTTGGATAGCTTACAGCGTGGAGGTAGATCTCTCTGGACTGCACACTCACCCACACACATACACTCAACAGGAACACTTTCCTTAATTCTCTGTGACACACATTTAGACATCGCTCAAATATTTTGGTTCATATTAACATGATAGTAGGACAAAGTTGCTGTCGATTTGTCAGCTGGACATCCATGATGTGAT